TTAGAGGAAAGGCAAATCTAGTAGCAAAGTCATGAGTTTCTTTAAAGGAAGGCTGTTCAACTTAGGGAGACATTTGTTAGGAGTTTCATAAAGAAGAAATGTAAGGGATGGTGTCAGTACATTCTTGGGTAACTCCCCAGGGTTAAAGGATTCATAAAATGAAAGTGGTTTGGAGCAGGACACAGGAGGCTGGCCAGCCTAGTGATGGGACATGCAGGAAGCAGCATATGTCAGCCATTATCAAGGAAGGCAGGAGAGTGCTGGCTGTGAAGTAGACACTATTGCTAGTACGTACTCTTACTGCTTTTGCTTTCAACTCTGGCCTGGGTATGCAGTTGTAAGTTTTGTGGTCATTGGCTCTGCCCTGGCTACTGGGCTGGAGACAGCAGAAAGTCTGTGGTGCCTTCACTCTCGCTGAGAGAGAACACCCCTCTGGGCACACTGCCTCAGCAGCCTGCACTGTCCCTCTCACTGGTGTGGCTGCCTGCTTTGCTTTTTTTGGAACATTTCTGCTGCCCATGCAGACTCTGGTGGCCACCAGTAGTTGTGTAGCAGCTGAAGCAGTGAGGTCATTGCTCAGTTTGCAGAGTCTCAGTCATTTTGCCTTCTCAGAGGAATCATCAATAGGTGGGCTGAAGCAAATGTTAGAGATGGGCAGTGACATGCATCAAGCACCCTCTAACAGGTGCTCTCACTACCTGCTCCCTTTTCCCCTGGGGATTCACGTGACTTACAAATCAGTGGCCAGACCCTCTGCCAGCCATTTTCCACACTGCTGGCACACAGCCCGGCCTGGGCTCTGCTCAGGAAGCTGTAAAGTGGTTCTGAATAGCTGCTGTGAAGCTGTCCCTGTGCTGCTCCTGTCACAAAGAGTTTTCAGTGCCGCCTCACTAATGGATGGGTTTCTCCTATACAGAGTGCTAAACAATGCAGTGATACATTCAGGTTTTATTAGTGTAAGTTTAGCGTGGCCGCATTATTCATAATGGAAACAGCACAAGAGAACTGCACTGTTCATCCCAAACGCGAGACCATAAATCCTGCAAGCCACGCAGCACCGTCGAATGATGTGTTTGCACCACTTATTTAGCAGGAAAGCTATTTGTAGTCTCTCTGTATGTAAACCCAAGCTGTCTTAATATTGCAAGCCCAAACTGTGTTGGAGGAGGTAATAGCAACAAAAAAATAGCAACCAGTACATTTTAGAAAACTCAGTTGTGAGTCTACGATACCAGGGCTCAGCCCCCGCTACCAAGTGAGAGGGGAGCAAGTGCTGTGCATGGGTGCTCTGGTGAGGGGGCTCAGCCCTTGCCCATCTCTGGGCTATGACAGGGGCGTGCTGTGTTTGCGTCAGGACCTGCTTTGCTGAGGAGTGTGCATTGTGCATTTGTGTGGGACATGGCGAGGCTTCGTGCTGCTGCTCGCTTGGTTTGCTTTCGCAGAGAGCAGCTGCAGCAGTGGGGTGTGTGAGGAATGCCCGGTGGAGGTACATTAATGGCCTGAGTGCCCCATGTAATGGGTAAACTGGTCAAGAATGAAAGAAAATAGCAATTTACTGTGATGAGGACACATCACCTGCCTAACATAAATCAGGCTTTTAGGTGTCAGGAAGCAGTACCAGCTATATGCTGATTTGAGGTTATGTGTTCCTTGGGAGACTGAGCCAGAGGGAGTCAGCCTGGGCTCACGACGAGGAGCAAGAAGTGCCTTGGGAGGAGGTAGGCTGAAAGCACTGCCTCCCTTCATGTAGGCTTCGTGTGGCTGTGAGGGAGATAAAGCTGACTTTTGTGTGCTTCTGCATTCAACCTAGTGACCTAGAAATGAAGGGCTACAGAAGCTATTGCCTGCCTTTTAAACTACTGCTTCTTGCAGAACTCCTGTCACCCTGCTTCCATTGGCCTTTGCCAGGCCTGGAAGCTGGGCAGTGGGAACCCTGTGGCCTAAGCACTGTTTCTTTGATGCTGCACAGCACTCATTGAAGGAAATGTTCACAGGAAGATTCAAACACATTTTAGATGTGTCTATTATTAGTTGACTCAGATGCAATGGCTCAGGGAAATTACTGATCAGGTTCCTGTTGCATTTTCAGGAAATACTGCCTGAACTTGTGGGAACACCTTCCTTCTCTCCTCCCCCATTCTCTCCTGCATCCATGCCCTCTCCAGTATGGCCATTAAAGCAATTCATGCTGGGCTGAGAGAGGAATCTCTGATTTCCTAAGGCTCACCTCTGAAGCAAGCTCTCTGCACTCCTCCAGCTGCTTTGTTCACTGTTGGTATTAGCACTGGAAATGCTGACAGTAGCTGCTAAAAGTTAAATGTATTTGTAGAAAATCAATAGTGTAGTGGCCCGTTCTCCCTTTCCCCTCAACTTCTCGGGGGAAAATAGCCCCTGGATACATGAAGAATATGAGTTCACATTTCTCCATCTCAGAACACATGCATTTATGCAAGAGGCTTAAAGGATATCTTTTATGATCCTGGTACAGTGACACTTCTCTTAATTCAGTGCTTGGAAGAGTGACAGAGGCTTCTGGAAGTGTTAGTTATTATGCAGGGCATGTGTTTTAAAACCTTAAGTACCTTGATTGTCTCTCACATAGCTAGTGCTGTCAGCAGTTTGCACAGTGCTTTTATGTGCGTTTTTCTTCCCTGAGACACCTGTGCTAAGTTCAGAACTGATTCTGCTTCTGAAGCAATTTATTAAACATCTTCAGTGCACCACTTCTGTGAAGAGGTCAATTTGTTCTTTCTGCCTAGAGATGCAAAACTCTGGGCTTCAGTTGGTAAATGCAAGTATTAGGTGAATTTCTCATTGTTTAACTTGCGCTATCCTTCAATCTACTCTCTCTAGTGATCCCTTCCTTTAACATAGGAATTTATTATTCATGAAATGTGGAGACATGCTACTGTACCAGTACTCCTGTCTAGAGCAGGTGCAGTTGGGTAGCCTGGCACGAAAACACTCTGCTCTTCACCATCTTCTGGAGGACACATTTTCCAGATGACTGAAAACATCTGTTTCTTTCTCTTATGTTCCTTTGTCTTGCTCGCAAGATGCCAGTGTAGTGGTGCTGGGATGGCACACGTTCATGTCATGAGGTTCTGGAGCACAACCAGCCTGAAGCTGATCCCTAAGGCAGCTCATGCACAGGCTGCTGGATACATGTAAGGAGCCTCTGGCTTTCAGTTCCCTCTGAGGTGGCCTCCCTGGAGGTTAAAAACAGGACTCTGAGAAGGAGTCCTGCCCCCAAACCAAATTTTGCAATGATTTTCTGTGTCTTAGTGCTTGCAGGTCTTCAGGGTGGTGTTATCTATACATACTCACCCTCAAAGGTCCAAATGCCTCTATGTATTCTTGTTTGTGGGTGGGTTTTTTATTTTTGCTTGCTTTGTTTTTAATTTGGATATTTCTGATATGCAAATTGACCTGGATCACATCTATACATACTAGATACAACAGGTTTAATATTAAAATACAAATTTTAGGTATGATGAACTGGATTCAAATTAAAACTTACTTTGCAAGGCTTCTGCATGGACTTTTCCCCACCTCTTTTTTTCTGCCACACATCATTCTTATCATTGTTCTGGGATCATTTTTATCTTGCGATTCCAGATAGGAATATGGCTCATGGTGTTTGGCTAGACCACCAGTTCTGGAGGGAGCACATTTGCTGAAATAAAAATTGGTAGCTATTCCTAAAGTTACCCCTTGAACCTTGGTCAATCTTTAATAAGTAGACCTGAGGCAGCAGAAGTAAGAGGGACCATTTCTGTTGGAATATCAAATTAAACTGTAATGACAAGACAAGTATGGATTTACAAAGTTGATATTTCCCCTGAACAGTGAATATTTTGGTAAAATTCTTAGACTACTTATTACAGAAGTTGTTACAGATTTTTGGTAAGATTTTTATTTAATGTGATTTAATTTAATTTTCTGGACTGTGTTTTGCATACAGTGTGATTTCTTTCAAAGTTGTGGGTTTTTTTTGTGGAGAGGGTGTTCTGTTATTTTTTCTTACTTTATTTTTAATTTTTTTTTTCTTAGACAAAGTCAGACTGAATTTAAGAAGTAAAACTGATTACAAAAAGTATTTGGAGAGCATTAATCAGTGGGAACTTGAGAAATAGCAGACTGTCAGAGCTAGTGATACAATATTTTTCTTCTTTCTTTTATCATAGAAAGGGCCTGTAGAAGTACATACTTGAATCACTAAAAATGTCCAGTTCTCAAGAATACTGACCAACTTGGTATTCTTAGTTTTGATTTAAATGAAATATTTTCAGCATGTGGTTCATTTCCAAACAAATAAAAAAAAAAAAAATCTTGAACCATAAATGATGCTTCACATTTCCTGTTGGAAAAAGATTTCAGAAGCTCATAAAATGTCTCCAGCCCTTACAATATATCAAGTCATATTAATTTATGGTAGTCAATGATCAGTCAGAAAAGATGGAGGAGAGAGATGGAAAGCCTATAATATTTACGTTCTTTCAGAACTGTATATCAGAGGGTTGCTTTTTTTTTTCTTTTTTTTTTTCCTCCTTTATGCATGACTCAGGCACATAATCTTTTCTTTCTTGCTTCAGGAAAAAAAAAGGAAAAAATGAAAGAAGGGGAAAAAATATACATATTTGTATTATATTATGTTCTCCAAGTAGCAAATTCCCTCTGCCTGCTATCTGTGGGTGTGCAGCCCTTCCTCAGGAACATACTGTATCTCCTGAGTTCCTGTGTTTGTGATATCACTGTGCTTTTGCTCTGAAGAACCATGAATGGGGCCATTATGAGGGGCCGACAGATAATTAAGATTCTGAGAGGGGTATGCTGCTAAAAGAGTGTTTAGTGAGGAAATTACAAGGCCAATAAAAAAAAAAAAAGTCTTTGCGAGTTCCAATTGTATTCTTTTCTTCAGTGGGTCTAATTTTTCAAGGTCTGGCTGGATCATGATGAAGTTTTCTTTAATCCTTTTTTTTTTTTCCTCTCTACAACAGGAGCCGAGGCTGGAATGTAAGTCCAAGTTAATGAAGCAGCCTCAAAGTTGAGGAGGAAGAGAATAAACTGCAGCTCTGAGGTACAGACCATTGGAGATTTCTCTTTCAAACCTTGCCTTTCCCACTCACTGGAGTTATTTGATTTGGAAACAAGATAAGAATTCACAATATCTGATTTGTAGAAATAACCTGGAGGAAGGAAAAACAGTCAGAAATACTAATTTCAGATATAATTTTCATCTCTCGGTTTTCTAAAAGTCTTTCCCATCTCTAATATCATTAAGCAAATACAAAGTACAGATTTTGGGGAAGTTGCGCACCGACTGACAAATGGATCTCCAAATAGCCCACAGTTCAGCACTTCTTTTTCTGTCAATACTCTGTGACTAGGAAAGGTTTGGAGCATAATTCTCTCCCAGTAATCTATCTTCTCCCTTTCTCTCTCTCTCTCTCTTTTTTTTTTTTCCTAGTAAGAAATAGACCTGGAAATTCCTTGCTGATTTCCCAGGAGTGTTATTCATGCCAGTTTATTTATGTATTTATTATTCAAGTGCAAACTATTGCAGTTCCTTGTGATAAACTGCAAATCAAGCTGATAGAGGCAAAGGGCTGACTGTCACACCAAGTGCTGTAGAGATGCTGGTGCTGTGGCTGCTATTGCCCCTATGTGATGAGGTGTGAGGACAATTCAGCCTCCTTGGTACTCAGGTTTGCCCAGGCCTTGGCTAGAGCTAGAAAAAAACAGTATACTTTCACAAGGATTTAATTGCCTTCAGCAGCACATTTAATACAAGTATGCTTTAACATGTGAGCATAATAGTTTATTGTGTTTAAGTGCTGGAGCTGCCGCTAGGAGAAATCTATATTAAGGCTGATAAGAAAGGGGCAACTTCAACTTGGAATGTGGTCAATTGCAAAAATAAAATATGTCTCTAATATAGCACTCGTTTATAGGCTTCCTTCTTCTTATTCCTGATTTTTCATGACTATTTCTCATAATTTATTCACATCCATGTGCACAGTCCTTCGTTACTGTGTGAAAAACCTACACAAAGGCAGCTCATTGATTACACAGAGGAAAAAGTGAAATTCCTGTCAATGCTTAAAGAAATCAAATTAAAAGAGTTGTCATTTTACTTTATTGACTTAGTATTCCCTTTCATAACAAAGGATAAAAATGTGAGTTTGAAATAATTATGTTCCTTTTTGTGGTATCTTGATTGCCATAAAGGTATGCTAATTTACGCTAGCAGAAGTCCTAATTGCTAATTCGAATGCCATCTTCCTATGCCATCTTGGTAGAGACATAATGTTCCTGTATTTTTCATGTGACCTTGTCTCATCTGCAAAGCTCAAATTTCATTGCCACTCTGGGAAAGGTTACTGGTGAGAAATGTTTGAGCCTTAAATGGATTCTTAAATTTGAATAGGACCCATTTTTTTATGTGTTGAAAACCAGGCTTAGATCCAAATACCTCAGAAACTTGTGAAGATTCAAACTTGATTTTGACTGAATTGTGCAACTTAAATCTATTTCAAGTACATAATTCTGTGTGCAGAGTGTAAATCCACATGTATATGTGTGTGTGTACACAAAGAGGCACAACATATATATGTTGATACATAACCACACAAATGTACATGTCTTGCTTTAGACTCATACTTGGAAACAGTAAGTGACTTATATATTTTTCACAGGAATTCCATCAGTGTTTACTTCCTTAAAGAGAATTCTAATTTTAGAAGTTTTAAAATAGTTTCTTGAGTAGCTAAATAATTACTGATAGGGAAAAAAACCCAAACCAAAACAAAGGAATCAGTTTCTTTTTTTTTTGACAATTTCTCTCATTGGCCATGAACTAGATTTTAGACATAAATGTAAGTAGGGTATTTTAAATGTTTATTATTTCCTTATCATTGTTCTATATGGAGGTCAGTATAGATTTCAGTTTGAGTAGGACCATGAAATGAAGAAAGCCCTCTTTATATGGCTAATAAAAGTTAAATAAATTTTGGAAGTGTGAAGTAGTGATTGGCGTGGGATGGATGGCAAAACAGGGAATCAAAATGTGGAAATAAAGTAGACATAGAACCATTCTGGTTGTTTTGGAGAAAATCATTGTCTGACTTCTGGTTCTGCAGAAACAAAGCCAGGGTGGCCTGGATTTGAATCCTTTTTTACCAGCAAATCCAGTCTTCAGGATAGTTTGCATAACCCAATACAGCTTTGGCTTATGTCTGTTCTGAATAAGCAGTTAAGAAGTTTGGGTATTTTTCAGTTCTCTGTGGGCTGGCAGAGAAAAGATATGCAGTACAGAGGACTGAAAGAAATTATTTAACTTTTGCTGGCCTGCATGGATGCACCTCCCTGAAGGCTGCAGCATTCAGCCACTCTCATTCCCAGTACAGACTGGTGTACCAGGTAGAAGGTGCTGGTCTCACAGACAGAAATTGTGCAGCGCTCAGTGCTTCAAACACCTGTTTACAGAGGTTTATATAATTTAGGAGCATAATAGAGCTGTCTGCTCGGGGTGGTCTGAACCTGGTGCTGGTTCCAGCTTGGCAGGAATGGCTCAGATGGACATGGGAAAAACAGAGAAAGCAGTCAAGTGTTATATGCCTCCCCGAATCCTTGTTTATGAGCTTGTGCTAAACCTTTGCTGTGCTGCAGACCCTTCCAATGAGAGTATATTTGTGTGTGTTAGCTCACCAAATCACAGGAGCCAAATTTCATCAGCAGATTTGTGGCTGAAGCAGATTTTTATGTGTGTAATTTTTTCCATATGGATGTGACTTTAGAGCAGGACACAACATAATAAAAGGGAGAAAAATCAAACTTTGGCTTAAGTTTGTCTCACCTATGAACATATATAAATTAAAAAAAAAATTGACTGAGTTGTTGAGAAAATGCAAGGCTGATGTTCTTCAGTTTGCAAAGACAACTGTTTGGTTAATACCCGCATTCCAAGGATCTGGACAAGACTTAGCCCTTTGGTGCAAAGTGCCCTGCAAATCCAAGGTATGAGACAGCTTCTGTCTCCAGGAATTTGCCTTCTCTGCTCATAACCTGCAAGGAGGGAGGATATCCTGCCTGAGGCATTGCAAGCGGCTAACTGGAAAGCTGAAAGCAGAACCCGGTTCTCCAGCCCAGTGCCGTGCATGATGAGTTTCACTTTGGATTGGTTACAGTTTTCCCACAGCAGTGCTCTGCTGCACTAATTGAGATTAGGTCCCCATTGCACTTAATGCTTCCTGAGAATAGAGGAGGAAGCAAATTCTGCCATGAAAAGCTCGACAGTTGTAGCCGCCTAATTGATGGGGTTATTTTAAATCCAGTCAGTTAAATTGCTACGGTCACCCTTTATTATAGCCTAGGCAATTTTATTTCAAGTTAGCTTTAATCAATTAGGAATTGATTTTAGCTAAGTCAGTACAAGAACATCTGATCTGGTTTAACAAAATTGGTTTTAGAGAAGTGAAATGGGTGCCGATTCAACATGAGCCCAAAGAAGGCTTGCTTTCTCTTTTTGCCTGCTAATGATCAGGTACAGGATATCCCAGTACAACGCCAGATCCTGCATGGCCTCAGCAGATCCTATCCCAGTCTTAAAACCTGGCAAAATAAAACATAAAGAATGGCAGATAATGATGGTTGCCTTAATGAAGGACTCTCTCCTCAGCAACTTGCACTCACATGCACAAGCACATCCTCATCCTGACTGCACTGGTCAGTGGAGGAGCTTTGGGAGCAGCAAGCGACATGCAAGTTAAGAACTTGCTGACTCAGCCTTCCTAGGCTACAGCCCTCTAGGCCAATGAGGCTGCAAACCATATTGGTCTTCCACTATGTGCTTTTAATGCATTTGTTTTCAGCTAGTTTAGTGTTTTCAAGAGGTTTGCAAAGATGGCTGAGCTGGAGGTATGGCAAGGAAAGTGGCTGGGAGCAGGTGGAGGTAGGAAGGGGAAGTAGCAGCTCTGCTTCTTGGCAGAAGTGTGGCACTATATTGTGAAAATGGAAATCCCAGGAGAACTGAGAATTACCAACAGAGATTTTTTAGCTGTGACAGTTTCTAATGATGTCTTGCCTTCAGGGCTATGAAACATTTGCAAGGTTTTATGACACTTTTGAAGCTTATTTCTCCAAATGATTATTCTGATATTTTACCATACTCTAAATAGATATTATGTTTAAAAAAAACCCTTCTCATTCTCTTCAATTTGCTGCTGCTGTTGTTTTTATCATGATTGTTATGAGTTCTCATATAGACACTCTTATCACTGAATGTTGGACTCTTTCATTTCTGTTCTCATAAATTGTAAGAATAAAGCTACTGCAGTCTAGGACCCACTATTTCTGGTACTATCAGAAGAAAAAAGCAGTATTTCTGCCGAGGATATGTTTCCTTTGTGCTAGAGCCATTCCCGTGCTTGACTTCTTCTGTAGGTACAAGTAGTGTTAATGAGGTGTTAATGTGTATGTAGGCGTCGAAAACATGGATTTGCCTTTGATCAGTCGGTGTTATTTCCCTTTTTATTTCCTTTTTTTTTTTTTTTTTCTAACCTCAAAAAGCTGTTTGCACTATGAAAGCCTTCTAACTTAACAGAAATTTTTTCAGGAGCTGAAAGAACTTCTGAAAACAATGTCTAGTGAAACTCCCACTGACTGCAGTGGGGTCAGTACTTCTCCTTTGATTACAATTGTTTGAAGAGCAAAAATATACTCCCAAGGGTTTGCCTACATGCAGTGCTCATACTGCTTTAAATATAGCCTTGAAAGTAGTATATTGAAAGCAGTATATAAACCCTAGTACAATGCAATTGTGCTATTATCAGGAAGTTATGCTCATCTTGTTTGATAGCACAAATGCAGATCAGTGTCATGGTTTGACCACAGTCTCTCCCTATCTGTATTAGTATAACTTCAATGGTTTTGTTTTATTAAATGCACACCTAAGGAGCTAACTTGGCACAGAGACTGGGTGTGTTAGTTTCTTGATTTATAATTATTAACACATGCACAAAATGAAAGCAAGACATTTAAAGTGAGAAAGCTCCAGAAGATAGAAAAAGTATGCTCTCA